CACACCTTTGAGGCCGTGGAGGACATCAAGAGCAAGCCTCCAGTGGCCATTGAGATGGCTCAGGTGCCTATAGCATTATCAAACGAGTGTATATGTGCACATGTACAAGTTGGGACTCACCTTGCAGGCTCTGGAACTCATCGAGGACAGCCAAGTGCTGCCAACGAGTTGCTTTGTTTGCCGGGGCTCACCTTTCAGGCTGTGGAGAGGCATGTGGTCCTGGTGGAGGAGAGCCAGCACATTGATCCAGCTCAGGCATCAACATGTGGCCAATCTCGATGGCTTGTCATGCAGGTTTGAATAGTTTTGTTTTTTGTTTTCGAAAGTTCTTGGTGCACTGGCTGAACCCCCTTCAATATTTGGAGGAGACCCAGGCTGTGGAGGAGAGCCAGGTCTTTGCTGAGGCCTGTGCTGGAGACGTTGCGCCTCAAGCTTTGTGCTTTCACCTTCTGCATGTGTGATAGCACTGGCCATTACAAGGCCCTTTTTGTTGCGCTTGACAGCACCTTCCCCCTGACCCACTGCCCCCACCGCACGCCTGTGTGGACACCCGCAGCTTGCCTCCTGAGGAATGAACTTCACCGGTGGCACTCCATGAAACGATGCCAATGGCCTCTACCTCTCCAAGCTGCAGGCAGAGCGGATGGCCGGTTGCTGCGACTCTTTGATTGCATGAAGGGATTGGGTGGAAGAAAAGCCAACAACATTTGTTGGCATGTCTTTGGACCTGTGAGGTTCCTTCTCCCACCGGTACCAGGACTTTTGGTGATTGATCCAACACTCTTTGGGTGCTAGCTGTGCTAGCAGGGATCTGTACTCATCTGGTGGTCTTGTCCTGTTAAATCACATCAGCCGTTGAAAAAAACTGGAATAGAAACATCGCACCACAGGATCGGAGCATGGCTGCCTACATCCAGCTGGCCGAAATGTCCCTGACAAGGGAGGAGCTTGGGTGGCCGTCAAGGCTAAAGTTTCACGTGCCTAAGCACAATTGGCAGTACTGGTATAGGATACCCTGAAGGTGGATATGAGCCGGTTGTTCTTTCCTCAAAACAGCTACTTCTCAGGCTTGGCAAGAGATCTGTCAGGCTCAGTTGCGCATATTTTTATCCTTCAAAGACCCCAAAAGTTGTTGATCGATCTAGAGGGCACTTGGAGTCCTATGGTCTAAAAATGTTTTGCGGGTATGGAATGTGGCAGCACTGTGTTGATCAACCATGACCCACAAAGTGCGGACCAAAAACTGTTCATCGGACCAGACTGTTGATCAGCTGAGTCATCAACCACCGGTTCGCCGCTGGGTGGCACGTGGAGGACTTCGTTGGCCGGTTGGTGACGTCTTTTTGCACTACCCAATGTAGGGGTGTCGAACAGGGTGGTCTACAAGCCTGGTACACGGGGCTTCTTGGCTTCTGATACTACTACTACAGCGACGACGACGACGACGACGACGGCGAGCCCTACAACATCCTACAACTCCTTTGTACTTGGAGCCTGGATCGATCCAGTGTTTTCATCACCTCAGGGGCTGAAGTGCCTCCTCTTTGGACCCTCCAAACCCATCCCAGACTCGACACTAAACATCCATTAACATCAATTTGCAGTCAGCTGCGCTGACGCATCTCAGGTTGTGTGCTGCTGGGAGCTTGCAGACCTTCAATGAGACCTCCAATGCCAACTGAGCTGCCGCGCTTGGTGGGGAGCTCGTCGTTGGCGTGAGCGCGTCACGTGTGGTGAGCATGTGAAAACGGCGGGCTGCTGGAGGGTGGCAGGAACAAGTTGGTGGTACAAGATCTTTTGGTGAGGGAACACCACATTCGAGATGGATGATTTTTGGCAACCATGGATGATTTTGATGGAAGACTGTGGTTCAAAACCCCTTGGTGAGGGAACATGTCCGGAAGATGATTCAATTTTTGTTACCATTGATGTTTTTTGGGGAATGCCATGTCCGCGTTAAATTCCTACTTTTGCTGAGGTTGGGTCCGGAGCCAAAACCTGCTCAGGCAGGCCTCAGACCCCAAACACCTTCTAAGAAGGTATCCGGGAGCCCTTGGTATATATATAATAATAAATATATATATATATATATATATGGCGTGTGGATTGGGGTGTGCCCTACTGAAAAATATAATCGTTAACTTGCCCAGGGAAACTGAGGTAGTCAGATGAAATAGTCCGACGAACTTGCTTGTAAATCTTGTAACAGGCCTTGTGCTGGAAATAGAGACTGTTCGAAATGAAGTTTGTGAAGCAGCAGTGGGAGTCGCCAGGAGACATGTGGTGGGTCAAATAAATCACGTGCCCAAAGGACTCTTTTTAGTACACCTTACTCTCCAGGTTCGGTCCTGCTATGTGCCAGTGGCTAGTTGCCAATACTTACCCTAGTGATCCACGTGCCTTCTCAGACCTGGCTCCAACATAAAAGTGTCTCCCCTGCTCACCCTCTCAATGGTACTATATATATATATCATATGTACCAATTGGTGGTCCCGGGTAGTAAAATGCACAGGACACCCTAGCATTCCTGGCCCACCAATATATATGTTAAAATATGCTTTACCGAACAAACAATCATTGCTTTACTGAGAATTCTTTATACTACAAGACCAGATCAACCATATTTTCATAGTCGGGAGGAAGGCTAAGGGTACACAAAGTACAACAACAGTTTGTGTGCTGGCATTCTCTTAACCACTTGTTGGAAACAGTGAGTTGGGCGCAAGGACACCCAGCACAGAAGAGCACCTGAACAGACGAACGCAGCGTCTATGAACCCGGTGACGGAAACAAGTCAGAGGTTACCACACCCAGACACTCCATGTATGCCATATATGCCTACATTTGGGTGGTTTCAGGGGTCAATGTAGGCATATATATGGCATACAGGGAGTGTCTGCCGAGAACACCGACCTTTTTGAGACAGAGACGACGTCGGAAGTCCCTTCCGATCACTTCAGGTACTCCTTCCGATCGCTGCCACCACTCCTGGATTTAAAATATACACATCCAAGTCACGGTTCCCCCATGGCAGGGTCCTGTTTCGACGCCCCTTCTGGATTTCAAAGGGCAAACACGTTTTCCAGGGATTACAAACGGGGGGGTTTGCCTCGGCAGGTCAAAAAGGCTTGCAAAGTTCTTTTTTGCCGATCATGCCCAAACACTCCATGTATGAAATATTGAGTGCGGGTCCCATTTCAGGTCTCTCAACCTTTTTGGGAGGTTTGCGTGAACTTCTCCTTGGAGCTCTCAGGGCCGGGATCCCCTAGTGGATTGGCTTGTGGAGAATAGGGTGGGGAATGGGAGCCACGAAGGGATTCCAGGGTTTTATAACGTATGCCTGGACCGGACTTACCCAGCAAACCATCCATTACCTTAGAAAATGGGACATGACCCAACACAAAAAACACAGGTGCTTGTACTCCTTTTCCGAGGTACAACTGGGGTCGACTCCAGTTACAGGTCAGTATGACCTCGTTTTATTCGAGTATATTGGAGTCGGTCATACAATCTAAACATACTGCACTCACACTCAATGAGGTTCGGCGGTTCGGTAAGTACGCTTTATTGCCAGAGAATGGTCTTCACTGGAGCGAAGTAAGAAGTCTGGACATCCGAGAAACGGGATGCTCCTGGACCCTTAACTATTAGTGTTCCTTGTTGGAGAGGCATTTTTGCTGGACTCACAGAAAGATCTGGACCCTCCAAAGTGCTTGAGAACATGGGACCTGCGTTCTTGCCCGTTTGAGTGGTACTTGTACCCGTTTTTGGACTGGACCATGGAAGATGGCGCTGCCTGGACGTGCCATGTACCGGTCCACCAGTCTTCCGAACCGCTCGAGATCGTCTGCTTCGCTCCGGCGGCCGAAGGAGGGCGCCGAAGGAGGGCGAGCCTGGCAAGCTCGTTCCATGGGCACGATAGAGCAAATTCACCGAGCAACTGCACACCAGAAAGTGCAACACAACCATAAGTTGTTGAAGCAACAAAAAGCAAACTTCTAAAAAGAAGTGAGGAAGAAGGAGAAGAAGGATAAGGGTGAGAGAAAGAAGACACCTCGCGGCGCAAAGAAGTTGGACCGGTGAATTCATTGCTTGGAGTCCACGCATGCCGCGGATACAGTTGTGGGATGCTGTCGTGTGGTCATGTGGCCAGATTCTTCCCTGCGCCATATTCCCTGGTTTTGCGGATCAGGTCTTTTTCCCCTACCCAGACACTCCATGTATGCTATATTATGCCTACATTGGGGTGGTTTTGGGGGTCAATGTAGGCATAATATATGGCATACATGGAGGGTCTGGGCTATATGGCTAAATATCTTTAATGGTGTTTTCCCAGGCTGGATGGCAAAGCCGAGATTCCGTTCTCCGCATTCTCGGCGTTCTTTGATGCCATATATGCCTACATTGACCCCCCAAAACCACCCCAATGTAGGCATATATAGCAGTCCCATGGAGTGTCTGGGACTCACAGAACGCCAACCATCCGTTCCTTCGATCGGGGTTCCCGGTTTGCGCCATCCGCCGAGGTTAGTGAGCCCCTCCTCCATTTGGTTGCTGCTGCTGCGACGCCATGCCTTCGAACATCCAGACATGGACCCTTGGGAGATCAATTCCGAGGTCCCGCGCCGGTCGAGTCCAGTCCGTGGTGCGGAGGGATGAGGGATGTGGCGAAGACATGGTTGTTCACCCACCCCGTGGCCAGGTGTTTCTGTTTCGGAGGATTCATGATATTCATATCCACCAATTGACTGGCTATCTACAGAGCCCATGACCATCCATTTTGAGATGGAAATAGGCCTGCAACCTGTGCCCATCATCCACTGGGCCCTGGTAATGGGATATACCCAAGCTAGTACTTCATGTATCGGGTCAGTAAGCGTTGCACGATGAAGGCAAGATGGTTCAGGTCAGTGGTTCAGGTCCCAATCCACGCCATCGGGTGAAATATGAGTGTACCTGAGTCTCAGTTCGTACCTCAGAAAATTGGTGTGTTGGCATACCCGTTTTCATAGGCCATGTCCCATGTTGAAAGGTACGAACGTTTCGTCGACTCCAGTTACAAGTCTCACCCTTCTTTGAGGTTCTTTTGTTTCACCTTCACACGGACTCTTAAAAACCCCATCCATTCATCATGCATACGAAGCTCCAAAACGGCCGAACAGGTCCGCAGGACGATGCAACGGCCGCGACGCCCGATTACAGCATCCGAAAGTGAGACGGCCCAAGCACACAAAGCTCTTTTTTTCGGGGGGAAGTCCACCAGGTCCACCAGTTGGTCGACCCTCCCTCCAAGACTGGACGTGGTCAACCCTTTTTGGGAGCGGAAGGATGTGGAAGGTACAGAGTAGTCTTTTGTTTTGGGCTCTTGTCCGGTGCACCGTCAGCACCGTAGATGGGGGGGTACGATCAACATCGCATTTCCCGGCAACAGTTTGATTTGTTTGGCTTAACGGCCAAAAGCAAGGCCGTCGCCTTCTCCTTTGGATTCGGTATTTTTCCATTGGCCCAGTGCTTGATACAGAATGCTTTCCCTTTGTCTTCTTCTTCCTCCTCTTCTGTCCCGCACACTTAAATTGTGGATCTTGGGCAACCTTCTGTCACTGCTCTTGAGGTGAGCCTCGTTGGCCAGGACTGGCACCGCGCCGCCAAAACCGGAAAGCGCGACGCGACGCTGACGACACGGTGGTCGAAAGATGTTGATGATGTTGAAAGGGTTCTGCTGAAGAGGGGTCTAGCTAGCAAAGGTCCAGCTAAATGATAATACTCAAAAGAACAGGCTTATGACAACAAATTTGGCCGGATCATGCCGGATTTTGCTGTTCCGCCATCATATACCCATCATTTGACAGAAAAGCTTTTTGGCAGGTCATCCAACTTGAATACATCCGTGACACCCATCGTCCCCCACAAAAAGACGAGGTTGCTGCGTGACACCTTTTGAGGGACTCTTCCTTTGCCTGGAGGGTACAACCCACGGTTTAAATGACTAGCGATTAGCCCCCCAAAACTTCCTAGGACGGAAGCATATCGCCCTCCAAAGATTCGGGACTTCGGGTTTGGGACTCGAACCTGTCTAACTCCAAACCGACCTTTGCTCATTTGGAGCATCCTTTGCACTGGGGAAAATAGGGGAAAATATATCAAGAAGGCACTGGGATGCCAAAAAAGTATTCGAAAAGTCCGGATTTCCTTTGTGGATGATTGGGCTTCATGGCAGAGCATTGGGCTTCATGGCAGAGGTCAGCAAATCCCAGCTAAACCACACCTGAAGACTAGTTCTTGGATAATTTCAACAGTTGTGATGAGCTATTGGAATGTTCAGGTTGTAAAAGAGCACATGCTTTGTCCACCAATTCTCCAAGGATGCATCCAAGCAATGTTTTGCCCTGTTTTCCAAGACATTGCGATGCAAGTTATCGTTGATCATTGTTTTATCATGTTTTATCTTGTTGTCAGTATGTTGGAGTTTGCCGGGTTGGACAGGACATCAAATCAGGTATCACAAGCAGTCAACACAAAGACCCTGTGAAGGTGTCTCTACACAACCTTTTCAACAATTAAGGTCTAACTCAACCCTGGATTGCTTTTGATATGTGCTCATAGGGTGAGGCGATAGGTGTGGTTGGGGGACCAACACCTGCCTTCGGAGCGAGCAGTACAGTAGGCACAGGATCAGCAAACACAAGCTAACGCCAAGCGAAGTCCAATACAAAACTGCCAACATTCAATTGGACACATGTTAAAGTCAGAGTGGGAGACAACAGACATAAACCCTACAAGTCCAAAGACCCAATAAAACCAGGTCGCTTGCTTGAATGGTGTTTAGTAACTTCAGTAAAATGAGGGCATCAACCTGTAGGGAAACAACAATTACTGTATTCAATCTGACCACGTTAAATATTGCGTGGAATTGTTTGATACTGTATTTGGTGTAGTATATCATGTGCATCAATTTATTTGGGAGGTTCTTAGCTTTATTATATATTATAATTGTGCATCATACGTCGATATGAGGTTTCCATAACGGCCGCATTGACACAACACAACTCGTGGCATTCATGTTCAGGAGTCCAGTACGAACATACACTCAGTGGATGGCACCCCCTGCTCATCAAGGACAGACAGGTCGTCTTCCAGACATCAAAAGACCATGCCATCCTCTTGGTGTTTTATCCGAGTGTACGATTCAGCTTCCCATGCCCTCCCTGTTTCACATATGTGATTCTTCACATGAACATGGTCGAGGTCAAACCAAATCATACGAACTGTGAAGAAACCGAAGAATGTGTTCCATGGTTTTCCCAGAGGGGTAGAACCACATTTTCGAGGTAAAAACCATGGGCACATGCCACATCATACCAAATCCCCCGTGGGGCCTACCCAAGCTCGATGCTGATGCGACCGGCTTCGCAGGAGGTGCTCAGGCGGCGACCGGTTCGGGGGGCGAGTCGGACGGACTGGTAGTGAAGTGAAAACGAGACACGACCTAAACCCCAAAACAGGACATTATGTTTTTTTCAATTTTTTTCAAAAAAAAATATAGAATTATAGTTAATAGTGCAGACTCTTGATTTAATGTAGACTCGTTATGAATTTAAGAAACGCAAGGAGGTTTTGCAATCCAGCTGGGGTGGGTTGAACAAAATCCATGAGTCTACGTACAACAGATCCCAGACACAATGTTCACAATCTGTTTGAGACTCCGTTTCGGTGTGTCTCATACTAGCCCCTTGGATGTTAAGGGATGTGATGTCCATTAATATCCATTAATTGCCCAGTATCTTCCAGTCCCAGGAAGCGTCTGGGGATTGGTGAAGGAAGTTCGTATTGGCCGAGGTCGATGACGGATCTTTGCCCAAGTGTTTCTGGGTCCCGCCAAGCAGATGGAGTACACGGGTCTACAATGGTGACTTGGGAGAACCAACAAAAATAGAAGGCAGCCAAACCCTATAGAGATCCAAGTACCTACAGTACTCAAAAGGTATAACTGGACCCCACCCTTCTGAGAAGGCACCAAAATAGAAGGCACTTCTTTGCTGGTGTCGGGTAACTGGCTCTACCCTCGGACGGTGCCGTTGACCACCAGCGGTTCCGTCGGTGGATCACTTGCCCAAGCTGGAGATTGGGGAGAGAGATTGAGGGACACCGAAATCGCTCAGAAAGTTCTGAAACCACCCAGTTGACCCTTCCTTTTCCTATAGGGAAACTGGAAGTCTGCTGGGTCGAGTCCAGCTGGAGACCCGGACCCGATGCTGACGCAGACACCCCAGGGATCCAGTCGTAGCGAACCGAAGGCACGACCGGACCCTCCACAGCCCACCCCGGTCCCACCGTACCTGAGGTTCGGTACGACTGGATCCCTATAGGGACAAGAACATGGGCACTCGCATCTGCCTACATTGGCATGGTTGGAAAACTGAAGGGAATGAGGGTGGCTGGATCCAATACAATCTCTATTTGGGGCGAAACTTCCCTTATTCCCTACTTTCGTCACACCAGTCAGAAAAGGGGTTGATGATAGGTATATATCATATGATGTATATTTCTGTCAATCATTCCGCAACCAGTCATCCGAAAACGAGTAGGGCGATGATGTTCGATGTTGCTTTCTGAAGCAATGACGATCGTGAGGGGAATTACATCCAGCTTCTTCAAAGTGATTTTTTTGGAGAGCCTAATAGACCTTTTCCAGGCCCAAGTGACCTCAAACTGGGATATCAAAAGGTCAGTTTGAAGAGGCAGGATGATACCACAGTTGGGAACATAGATCCAGGGCATGCCCTGACAAGTTGGCACCGGAAAGTTCCTTGGCACCCTTTGCCTGCGCGCTCACTGCCGTGCGCGGGGTGCACTGCAGTGCAGGTCCTTGACTTTGCCCGAGGGAGAGGAGTTGGAGGCTCGAGAGAAGGGAATCGGCATTGGGTCCAACCGGGCCATTGGATTTGGAGTCGCCTAGCGCAAACAGCGCAAGCATATCCCAGACACTCCATGGGACTGCCATATATGCCGCCCCATTGACCCCTGAAACCACCCCTGGCCTGATCGGCATATATCGGCATATATAGCAGTCCCATGGAGTGTTTGGGTATTGTAAGAATAGTTGCAGCATTCATCTACTATGGCCTCTTTGGTGTAAAGGGTGCCACAGTGCCACATCTTCGCCACAGTCTCGGTCCCACCGGGCGATCCTCCGCTGTTTGGGCATCGTACTTGTCACTCGGAAACCCCTATTTATACTGGGATCCGGTGAGTACGTTGCACTAGTCCCATCTCATTGGGGACCAGTATAAACAAAAGTACTGGTCGAGGTTGAACGGAATCGGAACCGCTTTTGAGCTGGAGGAATGGATCCGATAGGCAAGACCAAGACCGCTGGATGTGGGAAACGAACAAGATGCCTCATTGAAGAAGGGCCCTGGCGCGGTACATCAGTTCGAATTTGTGGCAGCAAGAGTTTCTCACCATGCCCCCCTGGCATCATGCCCCAGCATCACGGGACTCAGGGACTGAGGAGAACCAAGAGATGTTGACCTGAACTAGGACCCGGAAGAGCTGGGTACCCAACTGGGAGAGTCTTTTTGGGGGTTCTTCAACCTCTGTTGGAAGCCGTGCATGTCACCCAACCTGCACGGCTCGGCTCGGCAAGGGCGCCGCCGTGCCGAACCGCGAGGCTTTCGCTTCCGATCCACCAGACAGAGCCCAGACACTGACTCTATGCCCGACATATATCCCCTGAAACCGCTTCTTCAATGTAGGCAAATATGTTCAGACATGGCGTGGGGATTTCGTACTACTATCCACTTGGACCATTCCAATCCGAACATGTTTCTCATGGACAAAAGGATTTACCAACAACCCACCTCCCACCATGCCTCCACAGTGCCTCCACATCAGTAGGTTGTTCAAAAGGTTCGATCCTGTTCGGTTTTGTTAAAAGTATAGAGTTCCCATCGATCTGTCGAGTTCCATTGAGCCGTGGTTTTAAAGGTTTGATCCCCCTTGTTGCCAGGGTGGAACGGCTTAAGCCAGTGCTGGACGGGCTTCATGCTGCAAACGTGGCACGTGCATGAAGACCATGTTGCCACAGAAAAAGGTTCAGGGAAAGGTCTACTGTGGAAACATGTGGAAACATCACAAGTAAACCAAGTAGACAAAAGACGTCCACAAAACCCTCCTACCCCCGTCAGTGAAGAAACCTGGTGAAGAAGGAAGGGCCTTAGAAAGAACCATTTTTGAACGGGCTGCGCAAACGGCCACACATAGAATCAGAACGGAGCATGCAGTTTGTGGCCTCCAAAGGCCCTGGGCCCTGGACAACATATGTCCCCATGTTTGGGCAACAGATGCGGTTTTTCCCCACCTGCCAGGTGAGGGTTGTTATATAGTTGAATGAAATGTCATGCTGGGGATCATTCGAAGTAACTCTACAGGTGACATCACTTTACCGAAGTTGATCATATACTAAAGTCACTTAACCCAAGGAGGACTACTCGAAGTCGCCCTTTACCAAAGTTGATCATGCAAAATCACTATATCCCAGACACTCCATGTATGGCAGTCCCATGTGTCGTGTCTGGGATATGGTAACCGGAGGTTTGCAGGACCAGGTTTTACTCGGTCAGACTGGACCTGTAGGTCTTCGCTTCGCCTCTGGACGAGTCCGAACTCGTCAGGTGCCAACCCTCGTCGACTCTCCGCAGGGGGCACTCAGCCGGTGTGGACCGGCTCGTGTTCTGCGAACGGTTCGCCGTTTCAGGAGCCATTTCCAGATTTCTCGGGGAGGAAGTGGAACGAAGCCCTTCATGGGATGAGAGTTGCTGAGCTGATAGAGTCTGATCTAACCCTCAAGGTTTGGCATTTGCCATTTGCTCAAAGGCATGGGGTGGATCGGGCAGTGGATCTGGCCCTGGTGCGATGGTCGACAGATCGAAGGCGGTCGAACAGAGGGTCTCCAAAGAAACAACCACAAGGTTGGAGCATGTCCATCATGTCCTTCTGTTCTTTTGTCCTCGCATTTGGAGGTTGTGTAGGAATCTCGGCTAAGGGCCGGGCCCCAGTCAGACGGCTTGGATGCGCCTCCGATGCGGGTGGCCCCAGGAATTGCAAGGAAGGCAGGGGGGCATTTTCTTGAACAGAAGTAGGATCAGCCTCAGACAAGAGATTTCACAACATTGTTGGGCCTTGAGAAAGGCTGGTTCAAACAACACCAGGACACACCATGTGGGTTTGGCCTTTAAGCAGCGGCCTTTTGGGAACAAAACTAGGTCCTTTATCAAGAGCCGGCTTCAAAACAGTTGGGAACATGTTGTCATTACAAAGGGGATTGTGTTTTGAGCGTTTTGAGCACCAGTTCTGGTATGTAAAAATCGATGATTTAACCAGGGTTGTGAGAGAGAGAGAGAGAGAGTTCCAACATGTTCAACACATCATTCTTTGAGCATCTTGGAGCCTCTCGTTGACTGGGCGTTCCTTGACCGACACGCCTGCTTTCGGGTGATGGAGTGGTCCCACGGAGCCCCGAGCCCACGCACGCCTTTCCGGACTGCATACATTGGGGTGGTTCAAAAGGAATCATTGTATGGTATGTAATGTTTTTAGTCAGTCATATTTTCCATACAGCATTCCATACATGAAGTGTTTGGGGTAGTTGTAGGATTTATTGCACTTCAAGACCCTGCATGATGGGCTGTACAAGACTGGCCCGCTGTAGGGCTGGTCTTTGAGACGGTCGGGACAGATGCTCGTGGCCCCAAGCACCTTCTCAGTAGTGGGAGCTTTCGACCGATGGGTATAGAGTGGAAAAAAGACGAGATCCCGGTGACCAACACAGAAGTCATGTGCTAGTTCCCGGTTTCACGTGTCCGTGGTGACCGTGTTTTCATTTAAAGTTCCGCGTGGACCAACACAGAGGCGGTCAACCGTCTCCGAGGTCTGAAGTTGAATACAAACGGTTTGCCGGACTGCCAATGTGATGTGCCAATCAGTTGGAGTGGTTGATTGTCCATGTAGGCAAATATAAATATACCCCAACACTCCATGTATGGAGTATTTGCCTACATCGACCCCCCAAATCAACCCAATGGGTTGGCAAATATGGCAGTCCCATGGAGTGTCTGGGATCTTTTCTTATGAGTCCCAATCTCTTGGATACTCCAATGTGTCGTGTTTGGGTAATGACCTATAGTTCGTCCCCTCCCTGCATCAAACACGGAAGTGGACGTTCGCCTTCTTTCTTTGTCGAGGATTTCTATAGCCTTGTCAGGGGACTAAGTCTCCCATCCACGAAACCATGAGAAACGATGCAGGGAGTGTAGGTTTGTGTTTTGGCCTTGTAACTGGAATGTTTGAATGCCTTAATATGGCTGTATATTGGGTGTGTCTTGAACTAGGGAGCTCCCAGTTCGACCTCCTGCAAGAAGAGAAATAGTACAAAACCCAGGGGGTCCCCTATTAAAATACACAGCCAAATAGATGGGCGTGCTCACACACGACCCGCAAAACACTCCGGCGGTTTATCATCGGTTCGCCCTGAGGTTGATGGATGAGGCTCGAGCCTTTGTTTGAAGCGACGATACCATGGAGGGCGTGGGTGTTTGCCATGACCCAGACACTCCAAGTATATCTCGGACAATTCGGGCACGTCCCCGGGCGTGATAGCTCGGCGTGAGCAGAGCTGATTACACAAGGCACACCATGTATAGAATAGAATGTATTATCCATGTATAGAATGCATTCTCCAGACGGGTCAGTGTAGGCATATGACGGCATATGTTCCATACATGGATGGTCTGGGATATCTACAAGTCCCATTGCCAGTAACAGTGGGTGCTACCTAGCCATCATCATGCACTGGGCCCTGGTATATACGTATTACAATCCTATACACGGATCCCGTTTCAACCTGCCAATGTACAGTGGTTTCAGAGTAGATGGCACAGACCCCGTGATGTCCTTTAGATGGGAGTCCATATAAACACCTATTATATTATTGGGAGCTGTGCCATCTACTCTGGAACCACTGAAGGTAAAGTTGCCAATCCTCACTACTTGGGCCCAGCACCAGCCCGACCTTCGTTCGTGGATTTGTGGATTGATTGGGGCACCAAAACCACTGGAGGAAGCCACAGGTTTGGGTGGAGGAAGCCTTTTTCGTCCCATGCCATCAGGTTCCAAAGCTTAATATTCATCTTCAGTATAGACATTATGGCCAAAAGGTTTTACCTGCTGATCGTTGTCGTTGGTGGTGGACTAACCACTCCCTCAGTCTTGCTGAAGTCGATGAAGTGCAGAATGGCAGGGTTGTTTGCTTCGCTGTGGCCTTTTTCCTATAGTTCTTGCGGTTCCACCAGGCTCTTTGGACCACAGACTTTCATGGAACATTGGTACTCACATCCCATGCGCCCACAAGATGGGATGCTTATCGAGCTGCCTCGCTCCTAGAATACCCAGCAGGGCTCAGTCTGTGAGCCCTATAGGACTACCTTCAAGCTGACGCGACGGACTTCATTCTGACTGCTATCATGGTTGATGGCATGCTGATGTGGGACCCGACTATATGCACGTCAGACGGCGCATTGAAGCCACCCAGTTTCACTCGAACTTGGATAGCATGTTTGGCCGCGAGCTTTGTGTAACTGCGGAAAATATTTGTGGTTTGATGGCCCTTTCGTTTATGTTCCTGGGTCCATGAACGTCCACAGCTGACCTATCGATGCACGCCAACACTCAGATCTTCAGCATCATGGAAGCGGCCACCAGTAGACTCAGTAGACAAACTGCGGTTTGGGAGTGCACATCGTTTCAAGCCGGCCCTATACTTCAACACCCAAATTCCCGACAAGTCGGGCAGCTTGCTTATGGCTCGATCTGCATTTTTTGCATCGTTCTTGTGTAAGAGATGTGTTGGCACAAATGCATAGATTCACTACTCCACTTATCATTGAACAACAAACAACCCGTCCCCCAAAATAGAAGTCCAGTGATGGTGTGTTTTTGCATTACCAACTCCAGGAGCTTCATGAGCCCCGTTCCTGACCTCTAGGGCGTTGACCACACCCCTTCCCGTTTGTTCACCCCCTGGCCACACCCTTGACCTCACTGGCCCTCCTTCCCAGGCCCTTCCGAGCCTCCTTCCCGAGTCGCTTTCACCTCCCTCCGAGCCGAGCGACGTCTCCGAGGACGAGTGAAACGGGCGCCCGTGTCGCGTGCGGAACGGAAGCCACTGGTCGGAGGGCGTGGTGCTCTGTGCGCGCGCGTTCGCGTGCTCAGAGCCAGGAAGGCTGTGGAGCGTCTGCCAAAAACAGATGTTTCGTTTTTTGTTTTTTTTTGAAGGTTTTGGGGAATGGGAGCTCTAAAATCCAGGGATGAACCCGTTTGGGGGGGATTGGGGACACCCCACGACGGACAGGGGCTCACCTTTATTTGCAGAAAGGATCAATGAGGACTTGAGCAAGTTGCTAGTCAAGTGGGCCACCTTGAGGCCATGTGAAGAAATAAGCCTTTGTGAATTAAACTAAGTTTTGATTGTGTGCAGGAGGATTGTTGGGAAGATGTTTCGGTACATATTATAGAGAGAGAGAGAGACAACCCAGAGAGAAGTCATGATGAGGTGGTTCCTGTTCAACAAAAATGTGTTCACTTGAAGTTTATCCTAAACACATTTTAGGGTGTTGGCAACTCATATGTATCTATACCTGGAACTTCCTCAGAATATTTTCTGTATGCAGTTTCAAAATGCAGTTTCAAAAAGTTGGAGTCACAGCCTTATATTTGGTGGTTCTCTAGCTTTCATATATTGTTTAAAATATCCACGGGCGGGCGTTTATGCACAAACTATAAGGGCGTTTGTTGGTGAGCCACAGGCGTTTCTTCCCGAATGTGTTTTTAACTAGATGTTTTTGTGGTTCACAGATTCACAGATCTAAAAATAAATCCGTGGAACTATTGGCCAAAAACAATAACACAAAGTTGCAGGTTTTTCCCTGGATTTCCAACAGCATCCAAAACCGCACCCTAAAAAAAAGAAACAGGATCTGGTGTGCCCACTCTTTCATCCGAGCCGCGGCTCAGCAGGAACTCGCCGAGCCCAGCGCGGTGATGTTGAACCAGTTAGTCGCCGGCGCGGGCGACCACCGACCACGTGCGCGTCTGCTTCGTCGCGACGGATGCCATGGGGTCCTTCAATGGAACGAACATGGTGTCCATACGCGCGGCGTGAGGGCGTTCCAATGCGTTCGAATGCGTTCGTTGCGGTCTGAGACGGGGAGTGGTGGGGTCTGAGGTCGGTGTTTGGCGTTTGAAAAGGTTGGGAATAGGCATTTCGACCTGGATGACTTGGAGGTGCTTCTGGACCCCGGGGCATCCGAACATCCGAAGGGGGTCCGAACATCCGTGGGGGCCGACCCTTGTGGATGAGCTGGTTGTGGTCATGTTCACCTTGGTGGTGGTGATGTCCGAAGGTCCCAGTCCGATCAACCCAACACTGCCAACTGGTTGTGTTGCCTTTATATTTATGAAATACTAGCCAACGGGCAGAAGTTAGAAGATCCAGGGTTTGGGGGATCTCCTATCGCTCTTAGGTAACTTAGGCCATCGCTAGTAGGAGGCCATTGCTAATTAGGTTGGAGGCCATCGCTAGCAGGTTTGTCTTCATCTCATGCGATGTTGAGATAACCTGGTCACGAAAGACCCGGCCACTGGGCAGGCTGTGATGGTGACCGCTCCATGAATGGCCTACTGCCACAAACGAATTAATTCATGACAAACCCGCTGCACAGTCTCGCGATTTCTCGATGTGTTTTCGTTTGTTGGACTAATGCCAATGTATATAATGTTCTTGATCCCTTTTCAACCATGGACAATGTAGGTCGTGTTCGGGATGGAGTCGGAGAGACGTGTCGCAGTTGGAGTGGAACTGTTTCCAAGAGCAATTAAAGTTAGTATTGGAATCGCAGCGCCGCGTGCATGTCCGCAGCGCCCAGCTCGCGCACGTGCACGCGCACGAGCCAAAGAGCTTCCAAGTGTCAAAAGGTGTCATTGCACATCCGAGATGGCACGATCCCTTAATTCGGGTGCGTTTGTCTATCAATGTACGATTTGTTAGTTTTGTTAGTCGTGCTAGTTTTTGAATTTGCGCTGTCTACCCTGAAACATAGGCTCTATGCTCGATAGTTCCTATAACCAGTTCCTGCGACCATCGATCAAGGTACAAAACACATCAAAGCGCCTTTTTCCTCATGGCGAGATAGAGATTTCTCACCAAAAAGGGCGGCTCACCTGCATACACCCGCGAGACTTCTCCGGACCGCGGGGTCCGACTGTGTTCCGACTTCGCTGCACCGGTGGTTTTCCGGGACTGGAAGAGTAGGTCACGCGACCAGCGGGGCGCTTCCGAACTCGAAGTCGTTTAGGCAGGGGTTGCCAATGACTGAAGAGTGACCTACATTATCCTATTGGGGTCAGGTTCAATGGTGTTTTCATTGTATGTAACGACATAATCCTGTGACGTCCACCGGTGACATCCGCAGAACTCCCTCGTCTCTACCCCACCCCGCCCCCATCGCAGGTGCAGCACGGCATCAATAGCGCGCAGCAAAGAATCAGCGCCGCAGAATCCACCGCAGGCGGAGCGAAGAAACACCGACGAAGGTAGCGGCACAGTGCGAAGGTAGCGGCATGAAACAGGGAAGGTATCAGAAACTGATGGGGCTGGAGTTGCATGTGTTGCAGTACTTGGTGGGAACAAAGTAATTTGGACCCTTGATCATTTGGTTCTGAAATGTTATTTGTAAACGCATGATTTTTTTGACATCTACTGACCTACTTTGAAGACAACCGTGACGTAGACTGTGACCGTTGCTTGATTATGTGCAAAAGAAGACCTGCCTGATTGAGATCTAAATTCATTCTGGCAGGACATTGTAATTGTAAGGCAAGCAGCAGACCCGAGTGATTCTATGTATAATCAAAAATAGAAAATCGTTGTGGGGTTCCACTCTTTGAAAGCAAACATATTGGATGCCAATTCATTGGACATTCCCAGCTGTTCAACTGATGTCGATCCACCAATCCACTTGGTGTCTTGAACAAATAAACGAAGATGAACACCTCAACTCCAACAGCATCCGACAAGAACTAACCTGCAAAACCTTTTGGGTTGGGACACCCACTCAATCCACGAGGTGCAAAGCTTGGTTCACAGGTTCATTCTCCAAAACCCACTAAGCGAGGTCCTTTCGAGTCCGAAGTCCGAAGTCCGAGAAGCTTTCCCAGGAAGTCCAAACCCCTAGGCTTCCAAGACCATTTAAAAAATGGTTGACCTGGTTTTTGTAGTGTAAAATCCTTAGTTGATTCGGTAAAGCCTATTAGATTAATGGTTGTTGGAAGCCTAGGGAACATGAGAACATCGAAGAAAACATGAGTTTCCTCGTTTTCGTGCGGCCGTAATTCGTTCAAGGTCTTCCACTGACCATTGAATCAGAGTGTTCAAGGTCTTCCACTTACCTGTGGATCGTGCGATAGGAACAGATGGAAAAAGGTGACCTTCCCTGCAACAAGAAGTGGAAGATCATGGACAACCCCCTCTTGGTAGAGGAAAATCGTCTTCCTTTCGGGGCCAGAACGTCCACTTCCATGATTGTTTCAGGGGGTGTAACCTTTGATTCTCAAAGGTAATGGCTCGGGGATCGGCAACACCCCACCCCGAACTCCCACATTCGCCCACTCCCTCTCATCGCCACTGCTGGCCGTGTTCTCCTCGCCAGCCTCCTCATCGGGCGTGGCCGGGATACTCGGTGGTCATCCCGAATGGGATTGGGAGTCCCAGACATGACACATGGGACTGCCAGACCCAGACACGACACATGGGACTGCCAGGACGGACTGCCAATCAATTGACCCCCCTGGCACCAGCCCAATGTAGGCATACATGGAGTGGGAGATACATACCCAGGAACTCGTCCAGGCTAGAATTCCAGCCCGAATCCATTCAGGCTGTATTTCTGCCCGAACATGGTTTTCACGCCCAACCCTGGAATTCTCGCCCGCATGTGTTTTTGTTCATTATATATTCTGCGAGTGATGAATAGATGCAACTTGAGTCTACGAAAACCACCCAATCACACGAATTCTCGCCCGATCACAAAAATTCACGCCCGAATCACGCCGAAATGTCGGGCATTGCTTTAAAACTGCAGATTTGCAGGTTGGGTGCTTTGCAAGCAATTTGAAACATTTGCCTGAATAACGATTTTCTGCCCGCAGGTAGTTTTTAAGGACAAACCCTGGTTCAGGCAGATTTTCTTGAACAGGCAGAAATTTGAGCCTCAATGAGGGTCCAGGTATGGAGTCCGGCCAAAAGTCTATGTAGCGGGCCCCCATGTGTCTCACGACATGATTGACCATTTTTGGAAGAAAACATTTTGACCAGATCCCACAAAAAGGGCCTACACTCACCCCTTTTCAACCACCCCAAGTCCTATGGCAGTCCTATATGGTAGTCCGGAGTCTTTAAGTGTGTTGGAGGTTGGATGTGTTGGGGGGGCAAAGGCCCTGAGGACGGACCATACCCTAGGGATCCAGTCGTACCGGACCTCCGAAGGTACGACTGGACCCTCAAAACCCACATCAGAGTGTCGAACACATCACCGTACCTGAGGTTCGGTACGACTGGATCCCTAAAAATATATGATTCACAGATCTATGGTGATTGTTTCGGACTCCTTTTGGCATTGTTGGCCTTTCTTCAGGTTTGGGATGAAATCGTTTCAATCAATGTGTCTAAATAGATATACTGTGGTATGTACTATATGTGGCCATCATATTTAGGTATAGTCCCCGAAGCCTTCAATCTAAGTGAGTCACTGGCAAGCATGGGGCTTCACCAGTCATGAGAGGGTCAAATCATCCTAACAGTCCGGTGGAACATTTTGACAATTCAGGCAAACCACCTTATGATCCACTGTCGTTCGCATCAACAACGGGCCAGTGTTGGATTCTGAGCATTGCCATGGGCCGGAAACAAATCAAAACGCCAGCTGGGCTGCTGTTTCACCTGAACTGCAGAATTCCATACTCCCTAAGGATCCTTGGACCCTCCTTAGAAGGGGTCGAACCCTGTATAACTGGGGTTCCGAACCAAACCCTTGTTTTTGAGGGTGCGGATCCTTAGGGCAGTGTTTTTTCTTCCCCAGTCAACAGTCGGTCATCAAGAATTCGCCGACCAGGCCCTATCACCCAGACCATCCATGGATGGAAATGAATACCTAAATCAACCAGAACATTAATTTGTAGATCCTAAATGGAGACATCGTATTTGGCCTATGCTGAGTGGAAAACATCCATGTTTGGAATAGTTGCATACATTTACCCCATGTATGACTCCAAGGTATACAATACTATTCCAGTCCTATGGATGGTCTGGGCTCTGGTGGTTTGGGATAGACCCAATCTCTACACTTGGGGGTTCAAGCTGGATCAACCCTTGGAGGTGTTTGAGGTTTGAACCTAGATGTTCCACGATGAACAGAAGAACAGTTGGAGACTGGAATAGTTACCTACATTGGGGTCATAAATGAGTCTGCACTGGGTGCCCATGATCGATCCAATTATCCCACACCATCCATGTTTTGAATAGTTGCATCTACATTTACCCCATTTTCAATGGCCCCAAGGTTCCAGTCTCACTGGTCTGGTCTGGACCCGTGACGACGTCTAGTGACGACGTGAGCCGAAAGCAGGTGGAGTTGAAGCTCCCGAACAAGGGCGAACCCATCCAGGCCGCGTGTGACCGCTGCAGAAAACCACAACGACCCGCGGGAAGTTGTTCGATGGGTGAGGATGGGATGGAGAGTGGTGGGCAGATGGCAGGAGACGGTGGATGCTGGTAGGTTGGGGGTTAGAGGCCCCTACATGGAAGGTACATGATTCCATGAATATATGGGAAGTACAGTTATTCTACGGACACCGCGAGCAAAGAGCACAGACACTGCCGGCATGTGTCCGCTGGTTTGGCCATAGAGAATCCGGTTTTCACCAGGCACTCCCTATCACCCCCTCAGATGGGGAGGAGAAGGGTCAGCGAGCAAAAAATGTCAGTGAGCAATCACTGTCTTTTGACTCGCATTGACAGAGATGACGAGCAAGCATCAATGTTCAATCCACAAGGACCCATTTGACGCCATGTTCCAAAAACATGTGAAGGTGACTGGAAGAGGTTGAAACTCAATTGTTATAACATGCTTGGAATCATATTGTTTTAAGCTAGCTGAGGCGCCAGATATTGCCCAATCCTTCCACGCCTGTGTTGTCAATAGTTGCAAAAACATTATTTTTCAGTGGTATACGGTATACTCATCCCGCAAAAAGCCCTCGAGAAAGTAGTAGCAGCAGTAAGAGTAATACTAGTTAGTGCAACTACTGCTGTAGTAGTAGTAGTAGTAGTAGTAGTAGTAGTAGTAGTAGTAGTAGT